TTACCCGCAGTGGGAACAATAGCCAGAGGTGTATTTGGAGTTGGAAGGAAGATTTTGAGTACATTAGGTATACTTAAAGAGAAAGCACAACCTATTATACAAACTGTACAGAAAGGTTGGGATGTAGCACGAGATGCAACAAATCTTATTCCAAATCTGAAACAAGAGGAAAAGTTCAAGGATGGATGGACAATGGGAAGACAAGCAGGAAACTATTATAACAAAGCAAATGACTACTATAACCAAGCAGGACACTATATGGACCAAGGTGAAAGATTCTTTAACAGAGGATATAACCATGCACAACAGTGGGTAAACAATAACCAACCTCAACCACCTCAAACTGGGGAATGTAAAATTTTTTACTGAGATGAAATGAACAATACAGCATTGAGACAAATGGGTTCAAGATGGATTTGTCGGCTTCCAGCAGTTACACAACGTGTTTGTCAAGTTCTTCCTATACTCAGGAAGTTTTAGACCGACTTAAAAAACCTAACAACCAGTTGAAAACAAACCAAACTAAAATTTTTTACTGAGATGAAATGACCGAAGAAGTTGAAACGGTAGATTTGACACCACAAACAAAAAGTTCAGAACCATTGTCAAAACCTGTCAAAGAACTTACAGATGAAGAGAAAAATTCAATAATAGAAAGTGCCAGGTCTGGAAATACAAACCCTAACTACAAAGTCACTTTTCATAAAATGGAACGGCTAGTATCTCAAAAAGAAACAGACTCTCACAAATAAAATATTGAAGTCTGAAGGAGCTTTCGAGACAACAGATGGAAAAGTTTACTTCACTGACCAACAGTTCATTATAGAACATCTCATTGACTTAGAGTCGAAATATTCTAAACTTTACAACAAACACAAAAAGTTGAAAGGAAAACAAAAACAAATGGCATATGATATTTATGAAGATGTTGACGACACTGTTCCTGCAAGTGAAGTAAAGTCAGAAGAACCGAAAAGTGACGAAAAACCGATAGAAGAAGAAAAACCAAAAACTGAAGATAAACCAAAACCAAAGTTTAGTTTGGAAACTAAACCACAACGTCTTCATTAGCTGGTATGGGTTGGCGTCAAAGACTTATGGCAGCAGGCGGTTATGTAAAGTAAAGAAAAAAAATATTTTTTATTTTTATAAAATGCCCCCATATAGAATGGATAGAAAGTCTGCTAGAATAAAAGCAGAGTTGCAAAGATATGGTTGGAGAGTTTCGAAGAATTTAAATATAGGAAGGGAAGACCCATAAAAGTCTATGACAAATTGTCTGGTCTTCGCTACGAAATGGATTTGGAAACAGCACGTGCAAATTATCCAAACAGACTAGAGAGGTTAGAAGAAGAACGTCTTATGGACATGCCTTTCGATGTTAGTGAACCTCAAGTTGAAGGACACGACGGCTTTGCCAGATTCTACTGGAAACATGACGAACAATTGCATCCTTTGAGAAGGAAAAAAGGTAAGTGAGAGATGGTCATGCTCCCATGGAAAGAACAAGATATGCATATGGAAGTACGTGAAGTTAGAAGTCAAATTACATCTGGTCGAACCTTTACAGTAAACTTTGACGAAGGAAAGAACAAAGAAGGCTTCATGGGTGTACTTGCTGCATACAAGACGGAAATAAGAAAGGACACAATCTCAGATTGACCATAACAGATTTGGATGGTCACATTTACTATGCATATGGCAATGTCACAACAGCTGCAATGCTTCTTGACGCTTTCAAGACTACAAAGAGAGAACAAATGGTTGACTCCGACTCAGACATTTTGAATGCAATTGAAGGAATTGCAAGTGTCAAGTTCGAATGGTACAACCTAACCCTCAAGCAGTCAGACAACATGCTGGATACTTCCCCTTCAGAAATAAGTCTGACATTGACTTGACAAGGTATGGAATTTACAATTCAATTGAAACAATTGTCAACGAACCTTGCATTCTTACATGTCTCAGGAACTCTGGTCTTGTTACAGATGAGAAATGAAGTATCTTGAGTCATGTGTGAAGACAAGGTACATTCTCAGAGGTCAATTGGCAAAAATTGCACCGTTGGCAAATGTCAATATCCGAGTCAACATACCTACAGCTAAAGGTTCTTCACATGACGACTATGTTGTTGACTTCAAATTGCCATGGTTGAAGATTGTAATTGTCCACACCACTTCATGTTGAACGAAAGTCTTACAAACCCATTGTTCGGAAAAGGCAAGTGCAACATTGTCAGAGCTGTAAACATTCTTTTCGAGAAAGGTTTGTTGGAACCAATTCCAGATGACAAGCTGACAGAAACTTTTGTACCAAAAGACGAAACAAACTTTTCATTGTTAGCAAGACCAAAAGTTGTTCCAGACAAAGTTCTAGTACAAAAGAAGTACACAGTTCCACAAGGAGTTGGTATGTTCGGATACCAACCTGAACCAGAAGAACTTCCAATGAGGTTGCAAGAACTTCAAGATGCTATAAACAAACTTCCATTGAGACATCCAATTGACGTCAAATTGTATTGGAGAGCATCTGAGTTAGGTCAGAAGGTTTTATATGAAACAGGTTGCTTCGACGATGTTTATGAGATAACAGGAGAAGTTTCTCAGAAGATAAGAGACTCACTTGAATTTCCACAAACTGGACCAATTGGTTGCGACAAGTTCGACTCAATGAAAAGATATACTATGTCGACCTTAACGCTGCATACATGAGGTTTGTCCAATATATTCCGACTGGAATTCCAAACGAAGATGGTGAGTTCCCGGGAAGGAACTATACAGTTGGAAAAGTCATACAACAACTGTATGATATTAGGAAAGCTTCAAACCCCAAACTTGCAATGACACTCAAATTGCTTATGAATTCGACATGGGGATATTCCATTAAGAAACCTCAAGAGATGAAGAGTAAACATTATGAGAAGGTCGACAACTTTGTTGAAAGGTTTTCTCCTTTTGTTTTGAAGTACGAATTCACTCAAGGTCAAAGTGGCTTAGTAACCACATTAAAACCTATTGTCGAACATTGGTCTTACCCTCAGTTCGCAAAAGCAGTCCTTGACAACTACAACAAATTCTTCTCCGAAGTCAAATCCAAAGTGAAGGTTTACTATGAGAACATTGACGCACTCATGACGAACGAAGAAGGATACAACAAACTCATTGAAATGGGAATGGTCGGTGAAAAGATGGGTCGATTCAAATTGGACAAAATTTTCACCGAAGTTCATGTCCTCTCCAAGCGTAAGTACTGGGGCATACTTGAAGACGGCACAGAAATAAAACATTGCATGAAATAAAAACGTTTTTCAAAAAAGTGACATTTTTTAAATTTTATTTGAACTGTACGCTGAGTTTGTTGGAGAAGACCGTTGGGAAACTTGTTTGTTAGATGAGAAATATGAAATGGCATACCATTTTAAAACAATATATTTTTACATATATTAAATGCTTCAGGTTGAAAAACAAAGAACAAAAGTAGCAGATACAAAACCGTTAGACTATATCTTTACAAATGCTGGTAGGACTATTTCAGATGAAGAAATTTCATCCCGAGCATACAGGTTTGACTATCCAATTCGTTGGCTTCAAAGTCCTTCAGATGCAAAGGCAATAGGATTTAGAAGAGTTTTGTTTTCAAATAGAACTAAACGCATTTATGTTCGCAGTATATTTTCATGGGCAGTATAAAGGTTCTGATGGTCTAATAGACAAATTTGATGAAATGAGAATCTTTACAGTTCGTTCAGACGAAAGTCTTGAGAAAACTCTAAATGACTTTCAAACTCAAATGAACAAATATTATTGGGAATTTCAAGAAAAATACGACTCTTTACTAAATGGAACATACTATCTGAAACTAGAATATGACAAGATGAACTCCACCGTTTCATTTCAAAAGATTGAAATTAACCCTCCAAGAGATACAGAGTTTTTATTTTGGAAAGTAGACAAACGTTCTTGGGCACAATTTCTTCGGTTACTAAACCAGAACGAACCATTACCACCAGATGGTCCATTTAAATTTATACTTCCACCAGCAGATTTGACAGTTTATAGAAACGTGTTTGACCCTCAAAATGTTATGTGTCATGCAAGTTTCAGTTCAAGCAACAATAGTTTTCTATGTATTGGTAAGGACTTTTATGACTTTGCTTCTAAATTCTACGAACCACCTAGTAACAGTTTCTCTGACTTTCAAGTTTGGTTCACAACAAATGGTGTGCAACATATTCTTCCATTGTACTATGACTTTTATCTCGAATTGTCTTTCATATATAACTACGGAAAAGTGCTGAAAAAGTGAGTTTATGTTAGCATGTTAGATCTCACCTCTTTTCTCACCTCTTTTTTCACCCTCTTGAATTTTGTATAAAAACCAACCGCCGGAATTCCGGCGGTTGCTATATTCTTCACAAAATGCTTGTTTTGAGGTCGAGCCACTTTTGGCTCCACCGTATTCTTTCAACCAAAACTCATGAATTCGGCAAAAATATATTTTAGGTGAAGAGGTTAGATCTCACCTCTTTTTTCACCTAATTTTTCACCCGTTGAATTTTCATGAATTTTCCCGAAATAAAAAATAAAGTTAGTTTTTTAAAAAAAATATTTTTTATTTTTATTGTAAGAACAGTAATGTCAGTCGAAGCAAAAACGTTCACGAACAAATCTAATGGCGAAACATTCACAAAAGGCACTTACAACGGTATTGAAGTCTTACGTAGAGACAAGGATGGTTATATAAATGTAACAAATATGTGTCAGCAGTTTAGGAAAGACTTTAGAAAGTTGTTGGAAAATAAGTCCTGGGAAGAGTATTATAAGGCATTTTGTGAAGAATATAGCAACCGCCGGAATTCCGGCGGTTGGTTTTTATACAAAATTCATGCAGGAATTTCTGATGAAATCAAACAGGTTAGAGGAACGTATGTAGACCCAAGACTTATAAACTATATAGCAATGTGGGCTTCTCCAAAATATTGCATAGCAGTTGGAAAAATTATGGACTCCATAGACAAGAAAGTTCATGAGAAATTAGATGAAGAAGAACTTGAAGATACAGTAGAGAATGCTAAACCTTTGTTCGAACAAGAAGTTAGAAAAATGTGCGAAAAACAATTTGAACATGAACGTGAGATATGTTATGGTTATAGAGATTCTCCATACGAACTAGACCAATGGGAACAAGAAGATTTAAAGAGAGAATTTAGAGAATATGAACTCGCTAAGATAGCATTAGAAGCTGCAGCAAAGAAGTTAAAAGTTTGGGGTCGTTTTGTACAAAAATATTGTGGTAAATGAACCATTTATTTTTATTGAATTCGGCAAAAATATATTTTAGGTGAAGAGGTTAGATCTCACCTGTTTTTTCACCTGTTTTTTCACCCGTTGAATTTTCATGAATTTCCTTAAGATAGAAAAAAAGTGAGTTAGTATTTTTAAAAAAATATTTTTTATTTTTATTGTAAGAACATGTTAGCAACAACTTCACCAAACTCGTTAGTCATGAACCCAACTTCAATGTTAGTAGAAATGAAAAGCTTCATTCCTTCTTCATATACTTTCGAAACAGAAATCCAGAAGATAAAGCAAGAACTTCTCCAAGGAGATTTAGATTGCACTGCAAAAGATGAAACAAATGAACAATATCTTTATGAAATGCAGGATATTATTGACCATTTACCTAAACTTCCTGAAATACAACAACAAAAGCTCACTATTCCAGAATTTGAAGAAATTGAAGTCAGACCAACTGACTCAGTAGAAATAAAGAAGTTCATACGTAAGGTTAACTATGAGTTTCTTGGATTTCATTGCAACCACAAAGTCATGGACAAAGACTGCGATATGGTATATTTCATTGACATATATAAATCTGAAGAATTTAAGACCTACGACAACTTTGTTTCGTTAGTTGCAAAATGTGTATGGCAGATAAGAGATAAAGATAGAAGAGGTAAAGTATGGAACGAACAAATAAAACCTGCATGTTTTGAGTTAAAGAAAACCATTGACGCTATAGTTGTACTTGCAGGACAAATTTCAATGTACAATGCTAAAATGAACCCACAATGTTCTAAATGTAAAGCAGCAATGAGGAAATATAACTACTCCGTCAAAGAGATAGAACGTATGCGAAACGACTATGCTGACTTAAAGAAAGAAGTAGAGAAACCAGCAGAAGATAAAATGGACATGTTAGAATTTCTGAACAAAAACTATCCAACAGCTGACGATTTCCTTCTATCTGATGTCAAGAAGAAATATAAAGAAACATTCGGCATTGTGAAAACATTCGATGTACTAAAAGAAGAAATAGAAGCTACAAAACTGTTTAGGATTTCAAATATACATCGTACAATTCATGTGAAACGCTTGTGAAAAAGAGGTGAGAAAAGAGGTTAGAAAAGAGGTGAGATCTAACCATCTACCCTAAAATATATTTTTGCTGAAAAAAATGACCAAATTTCATGAATTTCCTCATATGTTTGCTACCCGAGGAAAACCGAGGGTAGAGATTCCGTACGAAAATCGTAAAAAAATGACCAAATTTCATTATATAACTGTTATTTTTTTACGAAGAGAACTTTGACACTTCGTCAAAAAAATCCCTGAAATCGTAAAAAAATGACCAAATTTCATTATATAACTGTTATTTTTTTACGAAGAGAACTTTGACACTTCGTCAAAAAAATCCCTGAAATCGTAAAAAAATGACCAAATTTCATTATATAACTGTTATTTTTTTACGAAGAGAACTTTGACACTTCGTCAAAAAAATCCCTGAAATCGTAAAAAAATGACCAAATTTCATTATATAACTGTTATTTTTTTACGAAGAGAACTTTGACACTTCGTCAAAAAAATCCCTGAAATCGTAAAAAAATGACCAAATTTCATTATATAACTGTTATTTTTTTACGAAGAGAACTTTGACACTTCGTCAAAAAAATCCCTGAAATCGTAAAAAAATGACCAAATTTCATTATATAACTGTTATTTTTTTACGAAGAGAACTTTGACACTTCGTCAAAAAAATCCCTGAAATCGTAAAAAAATGACCAAATTTCATTATATAACTGTTATTTTTTTACGAAGAGAACTTTGACACTTCGTCAAAAAAATCCCTGAAATCGTAAAAAAATGACCAAATTTCATTATATAACTGTTATTTTTTTACGAAGAGAACTTTGACACTTCGTCAAAAAAATCCCTGAAATCATATCTTTTATACAAAATAAAAAAATAACGTTAGTTTTTTTAAAAAAATATTTTTTATCTTGTATGTAAAGACAGAAAATGTTAAAGGTTGAGTTTGAAACAGTTAGAAAGATAGACAATGACACCAAAATGGTTAGAATAGGTGATTTAAACGTAAGATACTCAAAGAAATACAAGAAATATTCTTTGTCAGACATTATATCTCCATCTGGAAAGAAAACACACGACTGGGTTAGAAATGCTTCAACTCAGAAAATTTTGACAAGAAATCCTGAGCTTATGATATCGGTAAGATTCTATGGAACTACAGCATATCTTATAGACAAAAGTCTTATACCAATAGTTTTGTTATGGTTAGACCCAGTTGTTGGATATAACTTCATAACATATGGTTCATTCGATACGGAACGTTGCAGTGAAGGCTTACTTTACATCGTTCAGAAACCGAAGGACTTCAATACAAAGAGATATAAGATAGGAAGGACATATAATATAACTCAAAGATATGACAGTATAGTCAATAGAGTCAAGGTTGTGTTTGTTAACGATATGAGAGCTGCTGAAACAGAACTGCTTGAAGTTTTTGAGAAAATGTATGGTGCTCCCACGAAAGGTAAAGAAACGTTTGAAGTAGATGAGATAGGTAAAGCTATAAAATTATTTGACGAAGTTGCTGAAAAATACATGTAAAGCGTTTATTTTTGGTCTTTTGTGAAAGTCAGGAAATAAAGTTAGTTTTTTATAAAATATTTTTTTTATCCGGAATATAAAGACAGATATGACAACAACCGAGAACACAACAACTGCTATCGTTCATGAAGACATAAATGAAGAATATGAGTACATACAATATAACAAACAGTTACGTCTCATTCGTTCGGTCAAAGACGATATGTACCAAGTGCAAAGTATTTTGAATGCTCTTCGTTCTACAAAGCAAGCATATCATTGGTTTGAAAACCAACAGACAAAAGAACTTTTAGAAGAATTTCCTCATATGTTTGCGACCCTCGAAAAACCGAGGAACGAGATTCCGTACGAAAATCGTAAAAATTTGCCAAATGGTTTGAAAGGATATTATGTTCATAGACTTTTAGTAAATGCTGTAGCAATGTGGGCTTCACCTCGTTACGCTTGTTATATTTTCATGATGTTAGATGAAATTCATAGACAAGAACGTGAAGAGATGGAAAACAAGCTTGAAGCAAAAGATGAAGTCATTGAAGCAAAAGACAAAAGCCTTCAGAAAAGAATACCACGTTCGGTACCAAAAGGAAAGGAAAAGAACTATAAGTATATGATTTATACTGAAGAGATGGAAAATGAAGAAGACAGAGATATGGTTATGTTGCATTTAGTCAGAAGAAACAACAAAAGCTTTTACGACCTTGCTAAGATTTACAAATCTGACAGAAATTGGTTCTATCGCGAAAACTTACCGATTTCAATGACACCGAATGAAGATGTGAAACAAATAGTTCAAGATACGTTACCTCAAACACACTATGATATTAAAGGTTGTACAATACTTACCTTCAAAGAAGATTTGCCGCTACTGAAGGAAAAAATAACAGAGTATTTTGACAACTTCAAACAAGCAGAGTAAATGAACCATTTATTTTTCAAGCTTGACTTCAGATGGCTCAGGTAGCTCTATAAGGTAAATTGACTTGTCAAATCCTTCTGGCATTCCGAGTCCTTCCATCCGACAGGGAAAAAATTTCCCGACAACTGGAAAAAAATTTCCCGACAACTGGAAAAAAATTTCCCGACAACTGGAAAAAAATTTCCTGACAACTGGAAAAAATTTTCCTGTTGTCCGTCCGTAAACCATTCAAATTTTCGAAAATTGAGAACTTTTTGGTCGAACGACAGAAAAAATTTTTCCTTCCGACAGGAAAAAATTTTCCCGACAACTGGAAAAAATTTTCCTTCCGACAGGACACAAACGGATGACTGACGTTCCTCTTCCTGAATGCCTTCCAAAGCCAGAAGAACCGACAGCCCCAGCACCACAACAGACTTACTAAGACTAACCATTTATTTTTCAAGCTTGACTTTTTACAATTTGAACTTTGTTCGCGTAGATATGAATTCTGAAAGAAGTATGAGGGTCTTGTATGACTTTGTACTTCTCCCATAGTTCATGTCTGTCAAACTTACCTGCATGGACTCTTTCATAAGTTCCATGAAATCGTCTTCGGACAATCCGGGGAAAAGTATAATATCAGTAAGTATTCTCTTTACATCCTTACTTAAACTCTTGGCTGTCTGTACACAAATGACAACTGAAATGTTAAAGTGTCTGAGCTTCTTAAGAATTCGACACATGTCTTGTTCTCTATTCTTTAACAAAGGATGAGAAGCAAAGTCATCTAAGATAAGAAGACATCTATGAGGGTAAGTCTTCCAATCGTAAGATTGCAATTTCTTCGAAATGTATTCTATCTCTTTCTGTTTGTTTCTGAAGTGTTTCTTCTCTAATATTCTCTGCATTTCCTCATTTGGGTCTTTAAACTTCGAATTGACATACTCATTTATAGCATTGTACTTCAAAACCCTTCTTTGGTACTTCTTTATCCAATCTAACAACTCAGTATCCTTTATACATACTAACTTAGACTTCTTTATAATATCTTTGAACGAATTGACGGTTTGGTCAAATTGACCAGAAGTACTACAAATAACAACTAACTCATAGAATGGGTTCTTCTCATCTAGTTCTTGTTGTTGTGCAGCCATTTTAAGATAAGTGAAAGTCTTACCCGACCCAGGTGGTGCAATTAGACCTGTTATACCATTCTGAGCAAATAAGAACTTGTCATGTATAGGCTTTATCTGAGCATTTTCTAACTTCCTCTTGTTCTTGTTTAAAACATTCTCAAATTTCTTGTCAATGTCAGCAAACTTTTTTTCTAACATATTTTTAGAAAAAATTAAAATTTTTATCTTTTAGAAAATGTCTAGCGATTTCGCTATCTATATTCGAGACAAACTTTTCGACAGCAAAACATCTGTCGACCATAAAATCTTACATAGTGTAAACAAGAAAGGTGAATTTGTTCTAAAGTTCTGTTTCTGGGAATATGACAAGAACCATAAAACATTAAGCAGAGCAGTCTTAAAATTTGTCAATGACAGACTTGTTGACAGAAGATGACGCCTCTTGGAGAGATGAAGTCCAACAAAACTTCTTAGAATGCAAGAAGACACATGCGCTGTTCTTGAAGATGAAATAGAAAACAGAATAGAAGAGCTATTAAAGGACAAAGAACTTTACAAAAATATGGTTCTGAAAGAGTTTGACATAACTCCACCAGAAAAGAAGAAGAGAGAAAAGAAAGAAAAGAAAGTAGAAGAAGAGAAGAAAGAACCCAGAGCCAGAGAAGAAGAAATTTGACATGTAAAAATAAAATTTTATTTTTAGAACATTTCTGGGTCAATGTCAATGTTCTCTTCCTCTTTAGGAGCAAACACTGGCTTAGACTCTAAAATCTTTTTACCCAATTTACCTTGAACTTCAAACTATCTTAGACTCATAATATTCATAGTCGTCTGCTTTCTTTTGGTTCATAAGGTATAACAAGTTTGTATGCTTTGCCTTCTTTAAGGGTTTGAAACCTTCTGTCAAAACTTTCTTGACTGTTAACAAACCTTCTATGTCTAAGTCTTCAAATTTCCGCACCATTTTTAGTCACAATAGCAAACTTAACTGGTTCGATGTTCCAAACTTTGCTGAATGAAGACTTTTCAAAATGGTAGAAGTAAACATTCAAATATGTGAATGGGTCTAGTTCTTCTTTAAGTCCTGACATGTACTTGTTTACTGAGATGAATTTCGTCATCTTTTCTATCGGATAAAAAAAATATTTTTTTTTAAATTTACTCAGAAAAATTTTTCTTTGTATATACACCATTCTGTACGTCTAAAAGACTTTTGACATTTGCCAAGAATGTTCGTTTAGACGCTGTCATTAACCATATTCTTGACAATATTGTTTATACGAATCGTACAATGACCTTTCATCTAAACACTCAAAGTCAGTTTCATCTATGAACAGTTCATATACACTCTTGTTTGCTTCTAACAATGTTTGTCTCTCTTCGGTATGTGGAATTTGTCTTGGATTGAACTTAGAAATATCTAATGTCATGAAATATGAGAACAAGTGGTTTAAAAGTCAGATGTCAAAGTTTCTGCTAAGTCGTCAAAATATTCTGTATCTTGCATATGAAAATCTGACGTTCTGACAACTACATATCTTCTTCAGAACTTTCTAACTTCATCGGAACAGCATTGTTTGAAACCATAATGAAGTTTGCAACATTTTCAACAAACTCTTTGTCTTTATACTTTCTTTCAACAACTCCAACTTTGTCTGTTATAAGACTCTTCAAAGCATCTGAGTTCAAAACTTTTGTTGTATCTATACTTTGAAGTTCGTTACATACTATAAGTTTCATATTCTCTATTGAAGAGTTAAATTTACCGCAGATGTTTTCTAAGTTTGTCATATTCGGATTCGAATAACCTTCTAACAGTTTGCACAAAATATCTGTAAAGAATGTGTTCTTACCTGTTCCTTGTTTTCCAATTATAATGAGAGCAGTTTCATTCTTAGCACTTGGATGTTGTAAGATGTTTGCAAACCAACATAAGATATACTCATAAACCTTTTCGTTTCCATTGCATATAATTTCTTTGACATGGTCTAACCAAGCTTCTATAATATTTTCTTTCCATTCTACTTGTTCATATTTATATCCAGTGAAGATAGAATAGAAGTTTGGAGAAGGTGTATAAAACTTTATACCACGAACTGAAAAATCTTCTAACTTTGACAATAAGATATCCCAAGCATCTAACATCTTCATGCCAACTTGTACGACTTTTATTTTCTTAAGTTTCTGTCTACATTCTTGTTCTGAAACTATTGTTGCTCTTGGTTTGTTAAAGACTACATCCCATTCTTTCATGACATAACATTCTGGGGCAGAGTCAACATAAATGACTAAACGTTTCAAATTCTCGACTGCTTTGTTATAGTCTCGAAATGGACACATATTTCTGAATGTTTGGAAGTCATAAAAATCTGAAACATCTATTCTGTACATTTTTATAAAAATAAAAAAAATATTTTTTTTATTCTTGACTTTGTTGTTCTTGAGCTATTTGTTGCATTTGTTGTTCTTGAGCTATTTGTTGTTGAAGTTGTTCTTGTAATACAATACTTTCACCAGTTGCATCTTCCAATTCGAAACTTTCTGCCGTCATTGACAAATACATAGGACATAAAAGTTTTACAGGAACAAAGTTTGCGTCAACTAAGGTTAAGTTTATGTTTGCTAAAGTGTTTGAGTTTACTAAAGCTGAAAACTCTACATTCGAATGAACAATAGGCAAACCAGCAGAGAATGTGTTATTTATACGCATAAGTATCTTTTGGTCATAGTAGTTTCTGTCGACATTCGAATAACACTTTGAACCTAAGTTTGAAACAATATATAAAATAGGTGTACTTAAAGTCAATGGAATAGACATTCCTTGTATGACACCTTTTCCTGTTATAGGAAACTGTTGGTAGTAAAAACCAGATATAAGTTTTGTATTATAGCTCATATTGTTTATAGTAAACTCAGTCGGACATCCAAACATAATGAAACCTGCTCTAGTTGCAGCACATGTTACACCCGTACTTAAAGTATTAAATAAGTCAACAAAACCTGTTGGTGTATATCTGAGTAAGTATCTTCAAAGGAGTATTTTTTACCATTCACAACAATAAAATCTTCTGGTGTCAAAAGAGCAAAACAAGCTTTAGTCGTCATTGTGTTTAAGGTTAGTTTACAATATCGTCCTTGAGGACTTTGTAAGTTTGTTGTTATAGAATTATATGACTCGGGGTTTTTAGTCGTAATAGTATAAACCATTGTGTCTTCTGCCATTTACTTAGCAAATAAATTTTAATGAAATGTTGTGGTCGTCAAATATTTTTATAACGTCTGGGAAACTATATTTTAAGTTCAACGTTTCACCTCCTTTCATAACGTATATCTTGTCAATGACATTATATGAAACACCACAGCAACTAACGTCGGGTTCTATTTCTTTGATGTTTATATCGTCTGCCTCTGTCAAAAGTTTCAATAGTTCTTTCAAAACTTCATGAGGTGCAATGACATATGAGTTCACTTTTACAGGGTTGTGTTCGACCAAGTTTAACATTATACCTAAAGCTTGACAAATCTTCTCCTGAGTTTGAAGTTTGTCTTTCAGTTGTTGGTAGTCGTTTCGAATATCTGCAACAGAACTTAAGTCTCTGCTAACTTCAGGGTATGTTGGTTGTTCTTTTACAGGAACTATTGTTATACCATCTTGGTCTTCGTATGGTTTCCCCACTTCAACATCTCTGTCTTTGACATTGACAACAACACTTTGACTGTTTGGTTGAGTTGGTGAATTTAACTTCACATCTGCCACTGCCATTAAACCCTTTGAAACACTTACGCTTCTATTTTCGGAAATGACATTTTACTTAGAATAAAAAGATGGACGTATTTGAGTATCTCTTCGAATTGAAGCAAACAAAGTTTACACACACACAACAATACAAATACATTGACAGAATAGTTCTTTATACAAACAATGGTAAATGTTATAGAATAGCAGTCTTTGCTGAACCAAAATATTTTCATAAAGCAAAGAAAGTTGGTATAACCGAAATGGTGAAAGTTCTTGACGTTGACAAAAATATAACAACAAAACTTACAGATATTTCTAAAGGTAAGTTTATCTTACAATATTATGTCAAAACTGGCGTACTGTCAATATTTGACGGAGAGAAGTCAGTTCAAGAACAACTTACTGACCTGCTGCCAAAATCTGCTCGATGGAAGCTGTCGTTATGCCAATCTGAGGAGCCCAGCAGGTTTCATCGAACGAATCTTCAAAAGAGCATCTTCCGTGAAAAGTGCTATTGTTTTGTAAACTTCTTTGCTTCAATTCATCTGGACCGTCTCTGTCACCAGTATATTGTATTTGAACTGTACCAACAGTTGAAATACCACCCATAAAGTCTTCTGAGTCAGCAAATGGAATGCCAAGCCAAAAGTTTGAACGGTCTCCATTTGTATATTGAGTTTTTTGACCTCCTGTATGAGTCCATACTTTCACATATGGCATAATAGAACTTTGCATTTCAGGGTTAATGGTCGTTGTGAAGTTGTTGTTAAAGTTCATAGCATCTAATGTCAAGTTGTATGACCTCATATCCTCAACTGTAGAATATTCTTCTCTTGGATAATATTTGCCATCTATGTTTATGATATTTAATACCGGGGTTGTAGAAACAAGAATAGTCATTTATAGTTCGTCTGAACAGTACAAACATAGTATCTGCATGTTTCATTGCAGTTGTTAAGGCAATATCTGTTCTTGCACCTGGGTCAGCACTTTGGTTTCCAACTTCACCTGCAAAGTCTTTGACAGATATTTGGTGTATAGGGAACATAAGTGGAACTGCAATATATTTGGCAGCTAAAGCATTTGAAATATCTGGGTCCAACATATAAACGGCAAGTCTGCTTTCTATTCTCTTGCATTCAAATTTTTCGCATGTGAACTTAACTGGGTCCCAAGCAGTTCCAGCAGCATTGAAATAATAGTTTACTTCAGTGTTGAAGTTTGAGAAACCAAAGTCTAAGTCAACTTTGTCTTTGCAAAAGTCGGCGAATGACGTTTTATTTGTTCCCTCTACGTCTGTAATAGTGAATGGGTCTTGTGTTGGTGCAATGACTAAGTTATTTTTGCTTGGAGTAAGTTCAATAGAAATTTTTCCTGCCCAGTTTGGCAAGTATCTTAAAAACCTGAAGATGAGGAAAGATGACAAAGGAACTCTAAGTTTCAGTTTTACTTTGGTTACTGCTGCTGCAGTTTGTCCAGAAAGGTTAACATAAACTCCTGGAACGTTAGGGTCAAGTCTTCTTATTTTCTCAATGTTGCATATTGGTCTGTTTGTTCTCTAGCTTGTGGTTGTACTGAGTTTCTCAAAGCGAACCATTCATAGTTTGCCCATGTTACTGTTTGAACTAAGTCAGAGTTAGAATATATCTTATATCCCATAAAAACTTCTGGAGCATATTGGTATCCGACATAGAAAATTCCATTGCAACCTTTCTTGTCAGACAACTTGGCAGAGGGTTTTATTTCAATGTCTTGTTCCACGTATAAGAATGAGTTGTCAATAGAAATAATATGAAACCTGTCGCAAGCAATATCTACTGTTGTTGAAGAACCTTCTCCAAACTCACCTACGTTTCCATAAGAAACAGCAGTTGTATATTCGTAAGTTCCAGGAACTATTTCTGACCTTCTAATGGCATTGTCGCATTCGTTATACCATTCGGAAACATTTCCGTTCATGGCATCCAAAACTGTTGGCGTTATATTCTGAGCGGCGTACATTTCATATGGGTAAAAATATAGAATAGTTGGATTTATTTGTCATAATTGTTTCGGACCAAGCTTTACTTTCTTCCTGGCTGAGTTTTTAACTCTTCTTTTTCCTTCATTGCCACTACTTTCACTAGATGAAGTTACTTCTTCACTACTTTCACTTTGTTCTACTCTTCTCTTCTTCTTTGGTGTCGCTTTTGGTAACTTGCCCTCTGCTTCAAGTTGTTGCATCTTTGCCTCATGTTCACCTAGTATGTTGTAAATTTCCCATGTCCTTTTTGCCTTTGGGCTCTGGTCGCCCATCTCAGGTAACCTATATCCTAGAAAGATTTTGTCATAGTTTGTATTTGAGTCTTCGCGTATTGTTTGCATGACTCTTTCCTGAGTTTCCGGTTCAAGCTCTTCAAACAGAGCTTGTCCATATGGAATAAGCTCGTTTCCAAATATATGTTTTTGTAGCCATTCTGGTTTTCTTTCCATGTTACCAATAATATCTTTTGTGAATGGGAAAGCTTTTACCCAATGTTTCAGTCTTGCGTCATTTATTTCTGTAGTTGGTTTTATTTTGTCAAGGAACATGTTTTTCAATACTAACATTTCATTTGGTACTGTCCATTTGAGTTTTCTTAAATATTCATCCTTCTCGTTCATTGTCTGCAAAGTAAGTTTTTATGACATTTTGTAAACTTTCGTTTGCAAGGTCATGTACAATAGGTTCTCTTCCTTCTCTCTCCCTAACTTTCTTTCTAAACTCTTCACCAAATATACCATCTCTATGGTTCTGTGTAGTTCTTTGAGATAAATGTTCTAGAACGTCAGGTGTTATATTTCCTTCAGCCATGTTCATTTCATACTGGTCCAAAATATCTGCATGTTTCATATCTTTCAATGGCATTAAAGCCGCGCTGAAAATACCAGCTATATCTGGTTCACCATTCACTTCCATTGCGTCTACAACTTCTTGGAATTGAGGTTGTAAGTTTATGAACCACCTATCCGGGTTAGCTTTATGACCCCATCTCATTGTAGTTCCATAGTCTGCAGAAACAAAAGTAGGTTTGTTTCCATATTGGTTAGGTTCTGAATGAACTTTAAACAATGTTTCATTTCTATATGTTTTGTTGAAATTTAACCTTTTATTTTCACCGAGTTCAGCCAAAGATTGAACGTTATATGGTCGTAAGTAAAAAGGGTTATTGTATTTGCGTACATTTTCTTTCAGTACTTCCATTCTATGCTGAATATTTTCATCTGGTGTTGGAGTCTTTTGTATGTCGGCAAACATTTTTCGATATTCTTCTACTATGTCAGCCGAATTTTTCTTAGACTCTTGGAAAGATTCCATATTCACCTCATACTCTTGTTGAGGGTCAAGATTTTTCGGCTGTTCCAAATCTTCATCTAGTTCTGTGAAGTTAGTTTCCAAAGGAGAGACTTGTTCGTTTCCTTCAGGCTCTTCTAGCTGTTGTTGCTGAACTATTTCTTCCATGTCTGGTTGTATCTGAACTTCTTCCTGTGGAGTTTCTTGTACCTCATCTGCTGGCATTTCATATATTCCGAGACCGTTTTTAACAAGTTCCCTATCTAAGTCATCCGGACTCATAAACCTTTCTTCTTTCGTTCCGTCTCTATTTTTTACGCGTTTCATGAAGAGAGTTGAATTATCATTTAGCTCTGACACCAAATATCTCGGAGTAAATTCAGTCATGTCATTTGGATGATATGCTATTAAATCATATCCCTTAGCGAGCTTGTATTTTCCAGGTTTGAAATTATATCCCATTTGGTGCTGAACCATAAAGCTAAATAGGTTCGGGTCAGTATTTCCTTCCTTGAACTTTCTAATAGCTTCTTTATATCTGTCACTAAAGTCAAGAGTATCTGGGTAACCATAGTCTTCCTTAAGCATTTTTAAGAATTCTTGGTTTCCTTGTTCTCTACTTCTTTTATGTCCTTGCTCTGTTTGTGGTTGTTGCTGTGCAGTGTTTTGAACTGTTGGTTGTGGTGCAGTGTTTTGAACTGTTGGTTGTGGTGCAGTGTTTTGAACTGTTGGTTGTGGTGCTGGTTGTTGTGTTGGTTGTTGTTGTTGTGCTGGTTGTTGTTGTTGTGTTGGTTTTGGTGCATGCCTGTGTCTGTGTCCATGTGACGATGTAAATGTTTTAGGTAGTCCTGGTGCAGGTGCTTCTCTTGGAGGGTTTGGTGGTATATAAGTTCCACTAGCTAGTATATAAGTTCCACCAGCTGGTATATAAGTTCCACCAGCTGGCACATATGTTCCATCTGCAGCATAATGTCCTACCTGACTTTTCGTTTTTAAGAAAGCATTTACTAGGTCTGTTTTGGTCTGTTGTAACTCTTTTTCTTGACTTTCCACAACAGTTGCTCTAACGGCGTCATAGGCACTTTGAACTGCCTGTCTCGTTGCTGCATCTGTTATTTTCGTCATATTTTGTGCTACTTCTCTTAACTCTTTGTCGAAACCTTGAGACTTCAGTTTCTTTCCAGATGAGAAGTCGTTCACTAGTTTCACCTTACTATGAAGAGCTTCGAAGGCGTTCTTAAAGTCAGCATTCATTAAAGCTTCATTTGAACTGTCTTCATCCGCTTGTATTTTTGTCCTTATTGACCCTATAAGTTGGGCTGCTTTAGCGTTGGCTTGGGCATCTAACCAGTCATTGTTAGCTTTTATATATTCTGCGCTTTTCATTGCCTTTTGCATGGCTGCGTCGTTATTTTTACTTTCTTGTGCTAAGTTTTCATACTGTACGGTTTGGTTTTGCAACTGTAAAAGTTTTTCTGCCTTTACATTTGCTTCAACTTCTTTTTTATACTCATCGCTATCCATATATGTCTTCAGGGCTTTTTGTTTTATCTCTTCATCTTTCAGTACTTTATATTGAGTAGTATGGTTTTTCAAATTTACAACATCTTGTTCCATTTTTGCTACTTCTGCTGCTTTTTCTGACACTTTTTTCGCATATTCCTCTGTACTTAGTTCTTTCAGTTGTTCTTCTTTCTTCTTTTTCTCTACGTTTAACTCATTGAGTTTCTTTGTGTGTCTGTCATATTCTAGTTTCTTTTCGTTTTCACTTATTTGCTTCTGTATGTCTATGTTTGACTTTTTGACATCTGATATTTGATTTTTGAGTGAACTCAAATTCATTTGACTTTGAGGGTTATAGGCTGTTCCGTCTGCAGCTCCACCATAGCCTGCCATTTTCGCTAAAAGTGCCGCTCTTAAACCTCCACTCTGTGCACCAATAACTCGGTTTAAAAGCATAGGATTGCTTGACATTTGTTGCAACATAGTGGGGTCATTCATTATTTGTTGTTGCAACTGTTGTTGTGGTGTCAGTTTTACTATTGGATGTTTCAATGCTCTCTTCCTCTTACGTATATTCTTACGTAGCTTACGTGGCATTTTAAGTGAAGTTAAAAAGCGGTTTTTGACAGATGTTTATATGACACTTTCTCCGGTTTATAGGACCTCTCTCATATTCTATCTTGTCATATCTAAACTCATAGTCATGTATGTCCTCTAACCATCTCATAACGGTTTCCAAACCACTTTTATCGGATGTAAAGTAAAAGCATGGATGGTTATGTAAAACGTCTAAAGTTTCTAAAGAGTCTCTCAAAGTATACTTCCTTGGAACGCCCGTAACTTTTCCTGTAGCGACGATAGACCCTTACTTGTCCGGACAAAGTTATACTATTTTGAGTGCTCTACAAAAAAGTCAACGACGACGACTCTCAAAAATTTTTTATGGGCTAGAGGGCGCAACGCGCCTGGAAGCCCCCAGTACCCAAAAAAACTTCATTTATACTAAACATCTTCAGGGCTAGAGGGCACGAAGTGCCTGGAGGCCCCACTACCTTTTTTTTTTTTTTTTTTTTTTTTTTATTTCATTAATCTTTTATGAATAATAATTATTTTTAATATATGTGCTATTAAAATTTCAAATTTTGACTAATATATCTAAGTTATCTGAACGAAACATTTAGAAAATATCATACTTACATTGAAATAGCAAGTAGAGCATATTAATAGCAAGTTTCTTGGCTTTATATCTATCATCTATTGTTGTTTGATCAAACAAAATTCACTCTATTATATGGTGTCAATTAATTAAAACAATTTTTAATAGTTATTTATTTAGTGCGAATAAGTGCAAACTCATAAATGAATAACTTAATAGTAGAAATGAATTATCTGATATAAATCTCACATTTTGTCCATCAGAAATACTTTAATTGCATACGCATAACTATTAGTAATACGTCTGGAGTGTCAATTAATAACAATCCCACAACAAGTAAAATTCAGATTTTTATTAAACTTATTTTTTCCTAAAAGTTTTCTCAAATTACTATATATACATATGTGGATAAAATAATAGTAATATTGTAAAAAATTAGATAATTTTTTTTATTTGAGAACCTCTCAAAAGTTCATTCAATTTATCAATTGTTTCAGTTTGATGTATATTCATTTCTGGAGCCTAAAACTTTAGCAATCATGACAATATCATATTCTCTTTCTAACTACGCAATGTAAGGGTATCCTTAAACTCCTTTTTTTAATTTAGGTACCCTATTCAATTTCTATCGTCACCATATGGAGAGGTCAGGCCCATATCATAAAACATTAAGTTTGGACTTACTAAGACATGTAAGAATTACCTTGCTTGTATAGGGGCATTAAATACTTTTAGATGCTAAAATCTTCAAAATTAATTTAATTTGATATTCAAAATATGCACGAAAACGTAAATAAATACGGATCTAGCTCTCACATATCTCTATTTTAAGCATTGATAAGTATTTCTACATTCTATTTTAAAAAATATTCAAATTTCACAATATTCTTTTTATTGATAATCTACATATTAACGAGAATGATATAACTTTTCATGTGTTTAGAAGTTCTTAGCTTTAGTACTGTATTGTTGAAAAAATTATTGAAGACTTTTTTCTTTTTGAGAAATTAATGCAATAACCAAAGAGGAATTGCATATGCTGCGCACTAAAATTATAGAAATGTCTCTAATTAGACACAAATAGAGATATTCAGAAATAAAAATTTGAAATTTTGATCAAAAACGCTATTTTCTAATCATTTTCATTTTAACTATATATAAAGTATCTTTTTCTATAATTTATACTTGATGGTTTAAAAGACGTTTAGACTCAAAATTTTACTGCATTTCATGTGGTAACTATGCTTTATCACTAACTACCTCCTTGTTTCAACCCTGAACAATATATTATACCTCCCAATGCAGGTATTACTCCAACAAAATTAGCAATTTGGCTATTGTCTAAAATTTTCTCAAAGAAAGAGGAGTAAAGTCCCATTTTTAGAATTCGAGCTATATTAGAATGCAACTTAGACAAAAGGTTACAGTTTCAATACACATATTCAAAAAATTTGCATTCGAAATTTAAGATAAAGTACAATTTCCAAAAAAGAGTATCGAATCAGTGCACAAATATGCATTTACATGCTTACACTAGCTTGCACTAGTATTAATAATTTTGAAATTAATTTTCAAATTATTCCCATACCTTTTGCAAAATTATTATGCTTATGATTCTAAGCATAGTTAAGCGATCTCGAATTTGAATTGCTAAGAAAAAATAATTAGTAAAAAATTTGTCTATGCATTCTGTATGATGCTACTAACTATATTAGCAGCATACATAAAATCTTTTCAATATTTTTGAGGGAATTTGAATGGTACCGGTTGAGAGCTTTTTTAATTAAGGTACTATTTCGATAGAATTTGAATGGTACCCCTTCAATTTTGTGAGGGACCCCCTTTCATTTTTTGAATAGGGTACCTTAATCTTCCTGCAATTTATCAGTAATATTGAATTATGTTCTTATATTTAAAAAAAAAAAAAAAAAAAAAAAAAAAAAAAAGGGAGTGGGGCTTCCAGGCACTTCGTGCCTTCTAGCCCTAAGAATTTTTCCCAAGACCCAAGAGGAGGACCGAACCCCAGCCGACCAGCCGTTGACTTTTTTGTCATGATTTCATCGTAAATGTTTTGTCAAACTTCTTCGTAATGAGCGTAAATGACCCAAAAATAATGTTTATGTTAGAATGTTAGATCTAACACGTTTTCTAACATGTTTTCTAACATCGTAGAAAACTCATGATTTCATCGTAAATGTTTTGTCAAGACTTCTTCTTCGTAAATGTTTTGTCAAGACTTCTTCTTCGTAAATGTTTTGTCAAGACTTCTTCTTCGTAAATGTTTTGTCAAGACTTCTTCTTCGTAAATGTTTTGTCAAGACTTCTTCGTAAATGTTTTGTTGAGATTTCATCTTCAATGTTTTGTCAAGACTTCTTCTTCGTAAATGTTTTGTCAAACTTCTTCGTAATGAGCGTAAATGACCCAAAAATAATGTTTATGTTAGAATGTTAGATCTAACACGTTTTCTAACATGTTTTCTAACCTCATGAATTTTGTATAAAAAGCAACCCGCTGTTTTCCGCGGGTTGGTATATTCTTCACAAAATGCCTCAAAATACTCTTCCCAGGACTTATTTTCCAACAACTTTCTAAAGTCTTTCCTAAACTGACTGACTGACGGCA